GAGCACCATCTTTAAGATAAATAATATCAGCAACAACAGACCTTTAAACATCAGCAACAACAGGCCTTTAAACAACATGTAATGGTTGAACTTGACCTGATTTGTAAAGAATATCTTAGAGCCAAGATGTGAGAAAATTGACATTTCTCACTGTTACACGTGAATAGAACTCTCCTCAAATAAAACACTATATATATAGAGAAATATTGAAACAGAAATATTTAAATTGACAATAAATCCATGCAAGCTAAACAATAAATCCAAAATTTGCTATAATTGATAATCATATTAATTTATAAATTCTACCAGTTTGTTCAGTATTTATCTATCTCAGTGATTCTCAACCTTTTTTTGCCAATGGCACACCTTTGAAAAAATGCAACACACCTAGCTAAATATATATATGAAAAAAATATTTGAATTTTGCAAAATAAAAACATTGTAAGTCACACCAGTTGACTCCATGACACATGACAGACCTTATGATACAACGCGCATAGCGCTGATCATACCATTATTTAAATTAGCTCAGATTTTTAAGTTTGGATATTTCAAACAAAATGGTATTAAAAGAATTAAGTGGCTATTTAGATATAGAACAAGTAAAAATTAATAGTTTGAGCCTTTTTTTTATTGGGCCCATACATAAACATTTTTATTGGGCTTGTAGTACATCAAACATTTTTATTGGTATTGTAGTACATAAAACAATTTTATTGGGCTTAAAGTACATCAAATATTTTTATTGGGCTTAAAGTACATAAATATTTTTATTGGGCTTAAAGTACATAAATATTTTTATTGGGCTTAATAGTACATAAATATTTTTATTGGCCCTGTAGTACATAAAACATTTTTATTGGGCTTAAAGTACATAAATATTTTTACTGGGCTTGTAGTACATCAAACATTTTTATTGGCCTTAAAGTACATAGATATTTTCATTGGGCTTGTAGTACATCAAACATTTTTATTGGGCTTAATAGTACATAAATATTTTTATTGGGCTTGTAGTACATAAAACATTTTTATTGGGCTTAATAGTACATAAATATTTTTACTGATCTTAAAGTACATAAATATTTTTACTGATCTTAAAGTACATAAATATTTTTTTGGGCTTGTAGTACATAAAACATTTTTACTGGGCTTTAATACAAAAAAACATTTTTATTGGGCTTAAAGTACATAAATATTTTTACTGAGCTTTAATACAAAAAATCATTTTTATTGGGCTTAAAGTACGTAAATATTTTTATTGGGCTTAAGTTGATTTTTTGAGTTTAAGATTAAATAATAATTTCTATAACTTTAATTAATTGGCAAATTTTGATATTTTTGTGTTTTATTCTGAAATAAAAAAAAACTGTATGTAAATGTAAACTTACCTTGATATTTACTCAACTTACCTGTAAACTTACCTGCAAGCCTTTGAAGCGGAGAAAAATGACACCTGGTCTGCACTTTAATTGTTTGAAGTTTTTGATTCCGTAAATACAGGCAAATTATTTCAACTATCAAGAGTCATTATTTGAGTTGAATATTTAACAAAGATATGTAATGGCAAATAACTGGAGAACTCGTTGACTTCTGTCAGACGTTACGATTGTCAATTTTTAGTTTGTTCCAATAAAAAGGCAAATAATAAAACCCATTCGTATATTGATTTTGAAAAATAAAAATTGAGAGAGAGAGAGAAATGGGGCTTAACGTCCACTCTACACAAACTAGGTCACTTCGGGACTAACATATGGTATAATTTTATTTACATAATTCGCTTGCGCATAGGACCCAGAGAAAACCCACGAGGTTGGACAGGAGACCCTACTCCTTGTCACATACAACCGGGGATTCGAAACCACGCCAGTTGACTGAATGACAGACTTTCTTGGATTAGATTACTTTTTTATATATATGTATTTATATATATTTTTTGTATTTTTTGTTTAATTTGATAAAATATCTGTTTGCCTATCAAATAGCAAATTTTGTGACAAGTTTTTTCCGTGGTTGAAATTACGAGTGATCTAGCGCATGTGTTTTAGATCACAAGGTCTGTCATTTAGTCAGGTGGCATATGTTAGTCCCGAAATAACTTAGTTTATCTCTAGGGGATGTTAAACCCCATTTAGTCAAGTGGCATATGTTAGTCCCGAAATAACTTAGTTTATCTCTAGGATGTTAAACCCCATTTCTCTCTCTTTTTAATGTGATTGAATCCAAGCCAGGTGTTTATATAATACGTGTATTTTGCTTTTATAATCATAAGGTCTGGGTTGGGTGGCGGAATGGTTAGCACGTGCGGGTTGTATCATAAGGTCTGTCATTGAGTCAACTGGTGTGGTTTCGATTCCCGGGTTGTATGTGACAAGGAGTAGGGTCGCTTGTCCAACCTCGTGGGTTTTCTCCGGGTTCTCTGATTTCCCTCCACTGCTATATAGACCCCTATGCACAAGTGAATTATTGAACCATATGTAAGTCCCAAAATGACCTAGTTATCTCTCTCTCTCTGGATAATACAATGAACGATCAGCAGCTTATATAAACATTAATGAAAGTATAAATGACATTTGGCTTTCTATTTCCAATGGGAGCCACAGTGGCTAAGTGAGTAAGACACTGGCTCGCTAGCCTGGAGGTCACAGGTGTCATTCCTATGTTAGCCAAATAGATAGAGAAATGAGGAACATTGAGGGATAAATTTATTTATTTACAATTTTATTCAAATACTGTTCTTGGTTTCTGTGTTGCAATATATTCATTTATTTACAATTTTGTTCAAAATCTGTTTTGGTTTCTTCACCGTGGTAAATCTATTTGTTTACAATTTTATTCAAAATCTATTTTTGATTTCCTTATCATGGTAAATTATTTGTTTAAAATTTTATTCAAAATCTATTTGTTTACAATATTATTCAAAATCTATATTTGGTTACCTTGGTTATCTTGTCATTTGTACTTGGTACTGATAAATTCATTCGTTTACAATTTTATTCAAAATCTATTTTTGTATACTTCCCCACGATGGTTATTGGTCCTCAGATAAAAGGCTGAAGTGTGATTTTTTTTACTGTGTGTACATCCCTCGGCGGAGGTTGACTCGTAAATTGACGTTTTTTTAAACTCTGAAACTTCATCTGATAGATGTGCCATGTCGTAGTATGTCACTGCTAATCTTTACGTTTGTTTTAGAATTTTCACGAATCAAACTCAGGGGTCTTTTATTATGGTTAACATGTGAAACGCTTCCAAGTCGATTATTTACTGTGGAGCTACAAAGAACGCGTAGACTTCTACTCCAATATTGACATAAATTTATCCGTATTTGTTTGGTATACATACTTCCTTTGAACTTATTATCCAAACATCGGCAAATTCGCCTGTAATTACCCTATGACAAAACATGGATGGACATTTTCTGTCAAAAAATGTCAAGTTATTTAGTATAGTTAATTTCTCCAAGTTATAATTGACTCGGACTATTGATTCAACTTTTTTGATGGACGTTTTCTTGTTGACTTTGAATTTGGCGTATATCGCGATTATTCATCCCCCCATGAGATATTTTTCTTCCGTCTTTTATTGAAGTTTTTCAATGTTTTAGAAGTCGACTTTTTAGTGTCTGATGTTTGAAATTAAATGAGATTTTTGTTAATTAAATCCTCGCATATTTAATTCAATTAGAAAAACGATCAATGACAGAGCTGGGATAATGGGGATGGAATATAATCGTGTTTAGGGGTGGATCAAATATTCTCTGTTATTAGGGTTTTACATCTGCTACCACCTTTAGGTGATATCGCAGACAAAGGATATACTTCAGGGCCCTGATTCACGAAATTTTAACTTAAGATAAAATCCAAATTTTAGTAGATACCTCAATTTTGATAGGCTAAGCACTAAAATCAATCTACATTATCCAATCAAATTACTAAAATTTGGATTTTATCTCAGTTAAGTTTTCGTGAATACGGGACCAGTGAAGCCGTCTTTAGTTCACATTCCTCTGTAGTGTTTGATCTGTTACAGAATAGGGAAGTTGAATTGTAAATATAGCTATACTACTGTACTTTAAAACATATCATTGATTGGTTCTATTAATCACAAACATGATCCACAAACAAATTCAAATTAAATAGGTTCTAGTTGAGAGAGAGAGAGGTTGAGAGAGAAAGAGAGAGAGAGAGAGAGAGAGAGAGAGAAATCTTTAAGTCCCTGTCTACAGCTGATATCACATGTTTATTTGTAATGATGTAGGGTATAGACTCTGGCTAGGAAAAGTATGTAGTCATTCGGATGGACCCAAAAAAAACCTTAAGGTCCTGTGTATACCATTAGCAGCACGCTAAAGATCCCCTGATACTTTTAAATCAAAATAAGACCAAACTCTAGAACACCTGTCAGGACAAAATCCCCCTCATAACACAATCCATAGTGGATGCCGGTCTTCATAAGGGAGCCACAGTGGCTAAGTGGGTAAGACACTGGCTTGCTACCCTAGAGGTCCCGTATTCAATCCCTACATTGGCCAAGAAAGTTCATCAGGATTGTCAGTGGTGCAGGACAATGTCTAGTCATTTGGATGGGACGAAAAAACCAAGGTCCTGTGTACACATTGGTGTTCTCGTTAAAGATTCCTTGACAGTTAGAATTCGGTATATGAGTATGCGATAGTGCTGCTGTCTGGTCAAAATTTCCCCCATAGCACTCTGTATGGCATATGCCCGTGTTCATTAGCCCAGTCGGAGCAGAACAGTAGGACGTTAAACCCCATTTCATTTCATTTCATTTTATTTCATTTCATTAGCCCAGTTGATGCAAGAAAGGAGGATGTTTTAACAACTTTTGATTTCATTTCATTTTCCATCCAACAATCAGGAATCAACAGTTTGACATCAAATTATTATTGCTTATGAGAATTAATTATATTAAACCACTTTTGACATCAAATTATTATTATTTATGATTATTAATTATACTTATTTTGTTATTTTTTTCAGTCATTAGACGGATTTGGTTTTGCGATATCTAATGATGGAAGGTTTTTGTATATATCCGAAACAGTATCAATATATCTCGGACTTTCACAGGTAAGTCAAATATATCTCGGAATTTCAAACGTACGTCAAATATATCTCGTACTTTCGCAGGTACATCAAATATATCTTGTACTTTCACAGGCACTTTTTACTTCATGAATTATTCATCCCTGACTCCTGTCTCCGCCTACATCATCGTTTGATGGGGGTTGGATGGCCGAATGGTTAGCATGTGTACCTATATCATAAGGTCTGTCATTGAGTCAACAGGCGTGGTTTCGATTCGCCGGTTGTATGTGACAAGGAGTAGGGTCGCCTGTCCAACCTCGTCAGTTTTCTCCAGGTCCTCCGGTTTCCTTCCATTAAAAAGATTCCTACACGCAAGCGAATTATTGAAATAAAAAATTGAACCATATGTTAGTCCCGAAATGACCTAGTTTGTGTCGAGTGGACAAACTCTCTCTCTCTCTCTCTCTCTCTCTCCCTATCTCTCACCCTCTCATTATTTGATACAGCAGCTACACTGATCTACTGGTCCGTCCCCCTCCCCAACCCAGTTATGTAAAATATATCAATATGTTTCTGTCATTCATAGTTACGAAAAATATTCAATCACAACCGGCAAGAGCAGACGACCATATTCTATTAAAAAAAACCAAAAAAAAAACATAAAAAAACCAAAACGGATTAGAGTGAGAATTGTGTAAATATTTTACGATTAGAGATGCCATTAATTAGAATTATTTGAACAAATCTGAGATTTTGACGAGGATGTAAATTAATCCTGATGATTTGATTGGTTATAATCAATATCAATTATAAACACGAGAGAGACATCCACGATGGGCCCGACGAATCTTTTGACAAATCGTATTAAAGTTGACAAATTTTGTGTGAGTATCGCCGCTAGTGATGGAGGAAAATGCCGTTATACTTTGTTAAGATGATTCCGTGTAATTAGATACACAGGAGAGAAAAAGGGGCTTGTGGGATGGTCACCTTAAGACAGGGGTTGACAGTTTCAACAAGATGAATGAACAGAAAATGAAATCTTTTATTTTATTGGTCCTATGGGGGCGTGAATAATGAGCCTTAAGGTCATTCAAGGTCGTCCCCTGCGACCTGATTATTTGTAAGAATAATGACCCTCAATTAATCCCCCCTAGGGGTTTGAACGTGTAAATTGTTTGCCTGTGTGTAGGAGACCTGGTGCTGACATCTAGGTTATTATTACACCACTAGCCATGCTGAGTTCACAGATTGAACTGTCAATCAAATTATTTGAGCATTAATTGACTCCGCCCACCTATAATTGGAGTCAAATTGATGGTAAATTCATTAAGGTGATGGATAGATAGAACTGATGCTAGTTAATTTGTGAGGAAACTTTCAATCAACTTGTATTTATTTCATTTACTCACTTCATTTCATCTCATCAATCATTTAATAAATTTCAATATATTCCACCAACAGGAGTTTTTTTTCGTCTGGAAAACATTTTGTTTTTATAATATCCTTCTTCTTTTTTTTTTTATGATTCTTTTATATTTTTTGTTTATTTTGAAAAAATCTTTATTCATTCATTCATTTTCATTCACTTTTTTTTGTCTGAAAATCATTTTGTTTTTATCATAACCTTTTTCTTTTATTTGAAATTTATTTTTTTAAGAAATGAAAAAAATTATTACTTTTTTCTTTTTCTGTTTCTTCTTTTAAAAAACTTTCTTTAATTAATTTGAAAAAATATTTTCATTCATTTTCATTGATTTTCATTGATTTTCATTCATTTTCATTCATTTTCATTAAGATTGAAGTAAGTTAATAATATCTACAATATTTATTTATTTTATTTTATTCAGGTAGAGATGACAGGTAGTAGTATATTTGATTATGTACATCAAGCTGATCATCCAGAATTAGCAGAACAACTTGGTCTCTGTCTTCCACAATGTAAGTTTAAAATCGCGAAAACTTCCTACTGTTTTTATTAACTTTAAGTCATTTAGTTGGGTGGCCGTGTCAAGTCCCCACTCGTACATTACAAGAAGAAGGGTCACCTGTCCAACGTTGTGGGTTTTCTCTGTATCCTCAGCTTAATCAAACGTATGTGCAAGCAAATTATTGAAATGAAATTGATCCATATGTTGGTCCCAAAAGGAACTAGTTTGTGTTGAATGGACATAAAACCCCATTTCCCTCTTATTGAAAATGAAATGAAATGAGGTTTAGCGTCCTACTGTTGTGCTCCGACGTGGTTAATGAAGACGGGTAAACGCCATACAGTGTGCTATGAGGGAAATTTGCCCTGGCAGCGGCACTATGGCCTACTCTTATATCGAATCCCAACTGTCAAGGGATCTTTTACGTGAACACCAAGGAAAGAAATAAATAAAATCTAAAATCAGTTATATGTTTTGATTTTCATGCTGTCCGTCTTTATTTGCCGATTGGTGCCGAGAAATAAGAGGATTAATCCCATGACCGAATAGTTAGCACATTGTATCATACGATCTATCAATGAGTCAACTGGCGTGGTTTCGATTCCCGATTCCCCGGTTGTACGTGACAAGGAGTAGGGTCACCTGTCCAACCTTATGGGTTTTCTCAGGATCCTCTGGTTTCCTCCCACTGCTAAAGGGTTAGGGTTAGGGTTATGTTGGTCCCGAAATGACCTAAGTTCTCTCTCTCTCTCTCTCTCTCTCTCTCTCATAAAATATTTTTGATTACAGGTAGTTCTAGTTCCATGTCATCACCAAACTCTTCATCTGATGATGTTTCCTCATCACGACCACGATCCGTCACACCTCCCGGAGAACGAGGTAAATATATATAAAACACAGATATACAACAGGCAGAACTCTGATAAACAATTTGATTGCTTGATGATTTATAAAAAGATAAATGTGACAGTAATAAACGAGTGTCAACTATTTATTTCTGGATTACAGACGCGGACATCAGCCTCACTGTTGGCTACTTTTCAAATGTTGTAGCAAAGATTAAAAGTTTTGAAATGTTTTTTAAAAATACCAGAATTGGGGCTGTTTTGGAAAGAGGTAATAAATGAATGGACAATGGAATTTATCTGAGAAATGTGGAATAGAATATTCTGATAAACTGTTTCAATGGCATTTAGTAATTAAACTGGAATACACAGGTGACGATTCTATGTAATACAAGTACTGCTTATTACTGAGTGACTTGATAATGACTAGAGAAGTCATTACTGAGTGACTTGATAATGACTAGAGAAGTCATTACTGAGTGACTTGATAATGACTAGAGAAGTCATTACTGAGTGACTTGATAATGACTAGAGAAGTAGTAATTGTATTCCATAGAATGGTCACCTGTATAGAATATTCTGGACCTAATCATTATTTAAAGGAGCTAAGTCGCTAATATTTGGGACCTAGAAATTGACAAAAATGGGTCACAACGCATATAATAATGTAATATGAATGTATATAAACTGATTTACATTCAATCGTTTCTGTTTTTACTGTAATTTCTAATCAGTTATGTTCGGTGAAATACGCCAGAAGTCTCATGTGAATGGCAATCTTTAGCGTCTGTTTTATCCAGTCTACACCGATAGTATTTATTGCGCATGCTCTCCAGATAAGAATATAGTGTCACCATTTGACATGACTTGTGGGATATGTCTATCCCTGTTCTTTGAGTCCCTTGTTCCAAATTGCGCTGAAACGCATTATGGTACACGATTCGTGTACCAATGGTAAAATGTTTATTTTGTCTTGAATATTGGATATCAGAAGCCCATCTTTTCCCCGTAAGATCACAACATCAATGTTGATTTAAATTGACAAATAATTTGTGTTTTCAATGTTGAAGAATTTTGATGATATTGAGTTAGAGACTTAGCTACTTTAAATTTTCATGTTTTGTACACTATTTGAGTTATTATTATGGTTTATATACTCATAGCTTTTTATTTATTTTTCTCCAGGGTTTGTAATGAATCCTAATCCACAGAAAGGAATGGATCGATCGTTTTGTGTTCGTATGAAATCTACGTTAACCAAGCGAGGTGTTCACGTTAAATCACAGGGCTACAGGGTAAGATGTTTTTCTTTACACAGGGTGGGGGGGGGGGCACGGTGGCTATGCGAGGTGTTCATGTTAAATGACAGGGCTACAGGGTAAGAAGAATCTATTTCTCTATAATATAACTTAAAGCAGCTTTAGGTAAGATTAGATAAAGAGCTGACAGTTCTAGCTATAATAGTTTACAAAATAGATAATAAAAAGAGAATATGTTGAAAATATCAGTTAAATTACTTCACCATGAGTGAGGTTATGGCCGCTTGAGGAACGGTGTAGTCTAGATTGTCATTGCTATTAAGCCGTGAAAAATTAGATATTAACCCATCACTGGAATCAGTGACTATACAGATAATCTTATTTCATTGGTTGAAAGTTGACATCTGGAGGTGTGTCTAGACAGCTGGAATTTGATCAAGGGCTGACGAAATTCTCTTCCCTTATCCTACATATAATCACTGTTACAGAAATAATTAATTTGTTAGTCTCAAAATAACCTAGGAAGAAACTGACGAGATATTTATCCGTTATTTTTTATTATTTACAGGTCGTCCATATACTGGGTAGAATGAGACATCAACTGTCATTCTCTGTCAACCGTAAACAACCACCGCCCTTATTAGGTTTGGTAGGCGTGGCTATAGCAATGCCTCCGCCCACTATCACAGAACTACGAATTGACAACGATACATTTATAACTCGCCTTACACCAGATTTTAAATTAGTCTACTGTGAACCCATGTAAGTGATGTAATTATTGTCTCTTAACTTATTCTTCTTTCCAAGCAATTCTTCCTACTTTGAAGATCTTCGCCACAGATCTCCCAATATATTTTGTCTCTCAACTTATCATTCTCTCCAAACAATTCTTCCGCTTCTTTCCACCTACTGCTACGTACCCACGGTCGTGCGCGTGCGATGATAGGATTGTCCCTATTGAGTCCACGATCCGGTACGTGTACAGTTACGTTAGGATACGTTTCGATATGATCAACACGATCCGGTACGTGTGCAGTTACGTTAGGATATGTTCGATATAATCAACACGATTGCTACGACTGACCTCAATATATGATAAGACCTGATAGGATCACCACAATTAAAACCACGATTTCAATCGTAGCACGAATCGTGATGGTGGGAACCTACACAAGATCTCCCAATATACCATAACCGAGGTACGTTTCTCTTGGTAACGGGACAGACTCAGTCTATACTTCTGTCGAATCTGATTAAAACATAGATCATATTTCGTTTTGTTTTTTATAGTTCAAAATTTCGTTTTACTTACCTTCACTACACTAGGATCTGGAAGAGTTGTTAAATAACCAGCATTCTGGTTGATGTAAGGGATTAGCCAATGAAATGGTCTGTTCAGCGAGTTCTTATCTTTTGACATGCAGAACAGGGGGTAGACATTCGCGGCGATAGAAAAAAAAACAAAGCAAAATTTCTATTTCCGAATAGCCACTTAAAAAACTGAGGCTGATTGGTTAACAAATTGGCTGATATGTCATAGGGTCAAAAGTCAGTCGTATGACTCCTGACACAACCTCCCACTACAACCGGTCAGATCTTCATGTAGTGGAGGCCATCTTGAAAGCATAAAAATAACGAAACGAAATCTCGATCTGTATTTTAATCAGTTTGTACTGATGTCCGATGCCATGAAGTACCATTTCTAATCAAAGAAACAAACTTTGTGTTGTTTGTCAGATCTCATTTTAAGACATTTTTATTAATTCATGACTTGTGACATAAAATGGTGACTTGGTGCCAGTGAGCAGACCGGTCAGGAAATTCTGAGCTTTACAACAATATTATTTTATTCATTCGTAAGATCTGTCATTGAATCAAGTGGCATGGTTTCGATTCTCCGCTTCTTAGTGACAAGGAGTCAGGTCGCCTGTCCAACCTTGTGGGTTTTCTCTGGGTCCTCATCTCTCCCTCCGTCTCCAGGGCCCAAATTGATGCCCTAAAACATTGACAGGGTCATGCTGTTTAATTTGATACCACATTGATTCCCTAAAACATTGACGAGTTCATGCTGGTTAATTTGAACACACAGACATCTTTGATTTTATTTATATAGATTGTTTTCGTTTTTTTTTATAGAATCTGTGAATTAATGGATTTATCAGCTGAAGATGTCAATAATAAATTACTCTACGATTTCTGTCATGCGGCTGATCTCACAAAATTACGTAAAGCACATGTTGATTGTAAGTTGTTTTATTTACTACTGGACTGCTCAATCGGTCAATACAGATTAAGTATGGTTTAATGATCGAGAGCGAGACATTAACGCCTCGTGTTGTTTCAATATATTACGCAATGTCTCCGTGTTGTTTCAACATATTACGCAATGTCTTTAGCTCGAGACCATTAAACAACTTAAAATACAGACACTATCCCGCACGGGCTTTTCAATGAAATACGTCACGCGGGTCTAATATTTCATCTAGTATAGATAATGTACGATTGGCAAGTTGCCCGTACATTATTTGAAATAATGGTACGCCAACATCAAAGGATGATGTCACATCTGTATTTTGATCCATATTACCCGTTTGGCACCAGTCGTGTCAGAAACCTGCCTGATTCTTGTGAAGAGCTGTGAACTAGTTCTGTGACTCTCACGGTTTCAGTTGTGATTTAAAGAGCATTTTATAAAAGATGAGGTACAAATTCGATGTATAAAAATAGTTATTTCTCCCTTTGTTTCAGGGAACTTTAGGTAGTCAATATTTATATATTGGACCTTAAGGGTTAAATACTACATATGTCCTTCAAGTATCTGTTAAGATTTGGTTCTCCCTAAATAATTTAGGGGATATTCGATTTTAAAACTTTCTGTAATTGAATTCTCTCAATCCCCCAAATAGTGACAATTGAGTGAAAAGGGGAATTTTGGGACTACAATGCAACCATGTCAGCTGAAATTTTTTCTTGTTTTTTTACATCGCAATTCTACTCACACTACTTCTGTTGTCAGATATGGCAGAATTGTGACAGAACCGAATTTCGCATCAATCATTATCAATTCTGTCAGCTTTAATACTAGGAGCTTTGAAGACTAAAGGGAGACAACTCAAAATATGATCCTTATTCCTCAGAATACCCAACATTTTCATATTGTGTATGAAGTATTTAATTGATAATTGAAAGATAGTAATAACATGTACACCAGGTGATTTAAGATAAGAGTTTTATATTTACAGTATTAGCTAAAGGTCAGGTGTTGTCCGATTATTATCGACTAACTAATAGAAATGGTGGTTACGTATGGATACAGACATGTGCTACTACAATATATAACAATAAAAATAACGATGAACAGAGCATTATAGCCATTAATTATGTTTTAAGGTACAGTAATAAAATCAACTTTAACTTTATAAGCCTCTACTGACGATATAAACAATAAAATAAAATAGGGTTTAACGTCCTACTGTTCTGCTCTGACTGGGTTAATGAAGACGGGCATACGACATACAGTGAGTGTGCTATGAGGGAAATTTTGCCTGGACAGCGGCACTAGGGCCTACCCTTATATCGCATTCCAACTGTCAAGTTATCTTTTATGTGCAGGTCAATATGTACATGGAAGTTGGAACCTCAAGTTTCATCCCTTCATGATGAACTTTCTCGGTCAAAACAGGGATTGAATATGGGACCTCCAGTTTAGCGAGCCAATGTCTTACTCAATGAGCTACTGTGGCTTCTGCTTCCTTTTAGAGATTCCGCCTCTATGGACGATATAAACCAACCAGCAACACTTTTAAGAGTTGGGTCAAAAATATTGAGTCTTTTTAGTGCTCATTGAAGATGCGTTGGGAGATCATTGTTAGCCTGCGATATTTACTGGATCTGAATACATTTTGTGATGGATGATTCAACGTCAAAATGGATAATCGAGACTTTGTTTTTTTATTGTACCGACTTTAGTAATGATGATCGAGGCTAGGCCCAAAATTCAATCACTAATATCTCGGTTCAGAGTGGAGCATGTTCTCTTTACGTTATCTATTTTTAAACTGTTAGGGTTAGGGTTAGGGTTAGCTACCCTAACCCTAACCCTATTATAGTGAGAACTGTCAGCTCTTTATCTAATCTCCCATAATGTCATATTAAACGAATTCTTATGATGACTATATAAAATTTGATGATTGATTTTGTTTATTATTTTGTTGTTTTAGTGGTGTGGAATGCGATCATATTGTTTTAGATACGTGGCAACTACCACCGTCATCTCATCGTGGTACCGACCAATCAGATCACAGCGATCACAGTGAAATAGGGTCACAACCAGGTTCGTTTCATCACATTAAAAATTCTTTATTCTTTAACTGATAGGGGCTGTGGTAATATAATGGACAGGGGCTGTGGTATTATTATAACTGACAGGGGCTGCAGTATTATTATAATGGACAGGGGCTGCAGTATTATTATAATGGACAGGGGCTGTGGTATTATAATGGACAGGGGCTGTGGTAATATTATAATGGACAGGGGCTGTGGTATTATAATGGACAGGGGATGTGGTATTATTATAATGGACATGGGCTGTGGTATTATCCTGTTTCCTCCCACTGCTAAAGACCCATACGCAAAAGCGAATTATTGAAATAAAATTGAACCATATGTTAGTCCCGAAATGACCTAGTTTGTGTCGGTTGGACGTAAAACCCCATTTCTCTCTCTCTGTGGTATTATATTAAAATGTTCATCCAATAAACAGTCATGAGTTTACACAAAACTATACTTCGGCCTACATGTAGGCCCATTGAGAGGGGAGTGAAACGGGTAGAACAATCCGGGGACAATAAAGACCTAGGGGGCTCGTAAATATCTATTGAATTCTTTTTATATCGACATGGCCGGTATTCATGCAGCAGAGCTCCCTATCTGATCCCTGATGTCTTACTCTGGTCGGTATTCATGCAGCAGAGCTCCCTATCTCATCCCTGATGCCTTACTCTGGCCGGTATTCGTGACGCAGAGCTCCCAATCTGACCCCCAATGCCTTACTCTCGTTGTGCAGTGATAAGTTAAAAACCCTAAGAATTGGGTTTGTGGGATTTCCTAATCCAGCCATACACCACTAGCATCCCAAACCTTCCATGTTGAACAAAACCCACCTAGCTCCCGGACTATTAAATTTCTTTTGGCCTTATTTGTACGGAATTTAAAAGAGTCAGAAAAGCAAATGGTGTGTGGATAATGTTTTGTTATAATTTCAGGTTCTTTGAGTCCTCAAATTGAAGATCAAGCAATGCGAAACAAACCCAATATGGACAGTACAACGGAAGAGAGAATATCGTCACCACCCGAAACTTGTCATAATTTAAAAAAAGAAACAACCAAAGATGAAAAGATGAGCAAAGATTTGGTGGAAGATTTGTCATTATATGGTGAAAGGACCGACAAGGATACGAAAAATAGTCGGAGGAAAATGGACAAACCGCGAAAGCGAAAGCGTGATAACGATAATTCACAGTTAGATTTTTCAATTGATAAAAAGTTACGCAATAATTTCAGTTATTCTGACGGATCGGAGGTGTTGTGTCCATCGTCGTTAGATTCGAGCAGCAATAGTATAATCTCAGCGTCACCTCAAGATTTGTCGTTTAAATCTTTAAATCATAATACTGAATCTGATAAAGACTGGACGTTAGCAAACTCCTCGACAACAGGGGAGGCAACTCCCAGCTCTGTTAAGGAATTGGAGGCGGCCATGAACAGACATTTACCAGCCACGGACAGTAAAGACTCTCATAAAACGGATCAGATGACACGATCCTACCCTAAAAAGGGAACCATCCAATGGGCAGGGTCAAATAATGCAAACCACACAGAAAGCGGGGAGATCCTACCAGCCACCAATTTTTTACGTACTTTGTATGCGAATCGTGAATCTGTTATACGCTGCAATAACCGTCCAACATTTTACAACGAGATGTCTCCTAATTTATTAACGCCACCTTCAGCAGACGCCTACAAGGATCAGCCATGTTTTAGTGTCTCAAACTTGTCAAAATCTACGTTAAATGGACATTATCCAAATATGGCTGCCTACTCGTCAGCCTCTCTTTCGGTGTCAATGACTGCTGCCAGTGATTCATACGGCATGACACCGCCGTCATCTGTGTCACCGCAGGAAAAACTTCAGTCACCTTTCGGCGATCCAAATTACGCAGAAAACTGTACCAGCACGTCTCATGGTAATTCCCATTTGACGTTAAAACAGCCATACCATGTGACCGCCATGACAACCAATCCTATGGAATATAATGGCGTAAAATCGCCATATTTCTCGTCAGTCTCATCATACCCTAGTGTCGAAGACTATCAACCAGAAGTGAATCATGAAACTGTTTCGTACGAACCGTGTTCCCGTTCCGTGTTACCATGGTATCCTGTCTCTTTCTCATCTTGAGGCTGGTTCAATTTATTTGAAGTCCAATAAAGAATTATTTAAAGTACCTAAATCTCTTTGATTTAGGGTAAACATTGGGGTTTAACGTCCACTTGACACAAACTAGGTCATTTCGGGACTAACATATGGTTCAATTTTATTTCAATAATTCACTTGCACATAGGCGTCTTTAGCAGCGGAAGAAATTAAAATTTTGTTTTTGGTTTAAACTTTGAGTAAAGATAAAGTTTTTGATAAACTGCCGTGTAAATGGTGCTTTCTAGAGTATATTCTGTTGTTTCTAGCTTGTCAAAATCTTACCAATTTATAAAAAAACAACATGTTAATTCTGGAATAAAAACGGTCCCTAAATTAAAAAGTGGCGCCCAATCTACATGAGAAGAATAACATGATTAGGTACCCCCCCCCCTCCGAGCCCCCCCCCCCACGAGTCTATTATACATAAAATTCAGTCAATAAGTTTTTAACAACCAACAAGCTCTAACGCCCCTTTGAGTTTGGCCTCATGGTGTTCCTTAAACCTTTGAGTTTGGCCTCATGGTGTTCCTTAAACCTTTGAGCTTGGCCACATGGTGTTCCATAACCCTTTGAGTTTGTCCCCATGGTGTTCCATAATCCTTTGAGTTTGGCCCCAATGGTGTTCCTTAACCTATTAAAGTTTTACTTCAATATTTTGCTTGCACATAGGGCTGTTACTGTGGGAGCTGTGGGGGATATTGGAGGTCCTGGAGAAATACCACAAACTTAGACAGGTGACCATACTTACCAGCTTGGGATCCCCACCCCCATCCCCACCACCACCTCAAATGTTAGATAATTTAGAATTGAAATGTAAACAATGCAAGAAGAATTGTATATAAACAGAGTCTAGGTTAGATACTGTGTATATATTTGTATAAATTTAAAAGATTGTGTATATCATGACAAATTGTTATTTGTTATTTGTCTGTTATTGTTACTTCATTTATATGTAGGTCATGAAGCTTTAAGTTTATAATATGTAGGCCTTAAAGTTTATATGTAGGTCATGAAGCTTAAAGTTTATATTAGGCCTTAAAGCTTAAAGTTAATATGTAGGCCTTAAAGCTTATAGTTTATATGTAGGTCATGAAGCTTTAAGGCTTTTATGTAGATCATGAAGCTTAGAGTCTATATGTAGGCCTTAAAGCTTATATGTAGGCCTTAAAGCTTAAAGTTTTATATGTAGGCCTTAAAGCTTAAAGTTTTATATGTAGGCCTTAAAGCTTAAAGTTTTATATGTAGGCTTTAAAGATTTAACTTTTATTTGCCCAGATTTAAATCTGTCGTTCACAATTAAAGTAAACATTCTAAATTACAAAACGTTTTGCAGGTAGACAAAGCAGCTAATAGGTAGGCCTATATGTTTATATGCCTGGCAACCTTTGTTTTAAATTGATAAAGTACTGTGTTCAACCAAATAATTCTTAATTTGAATAAGAATAATTTCTTTATTAAATGTGTATTACCTATTTGTAAATATTTTATTGGAGGTGTGACCCTTTAACACCTGGATCACCCTAAATTACTTATCCCTCTAGCTCCTGGTCTACCCTAAATTACTTCTCCCTCTAGCTCCTGGACCACCCTAAATTACTTATCCCTCTAGCTCCTGGATCACCCTAAATTACATATCCCTCTAGCTCCTGGATCACCCTAAATTACATATCCCTCTAGCTCCTGGACCACCCTAAATTACATATCCCTCTAGCTCCTGGATCACCCTAAATTACTTATCCCTCTAGCTCCTGGACTACCCTAAATTACTTCTCCCTCTAGCTCCTGGACTACCCTAAATTACTTCTCCCTCTAGCTCCTGGACCACCCTAAATTACTTCTCCCTCTAGCTCCTAGATCACCCTAAATTACTTCTCCCTCTAGCTCCTGGACCACCCTAAATTACTTATCCCTCTAGCTCCTGGATCACCCTAAATTACATATCCCTCTAGCTCCTAGATCGTCCTAAATTACTTTTTCCTCTTATTCCTGGACTAACTTAAATTACAGTTTCATCTAGCTTCTGGACTAACCTAAATTACTGGACTACCCTAAATTACTGTAAAAAGGGTCACGTTTTCTGTTATATTTTTATGAATCTGGGGTAATCAATATTTCTATGTGTCAGATTCTATAGGTTTAATATCTGACTAGTTGCCATGGTGAATGAAAACAAAAAAAATGTTAATAATGATCTCAACTTAGTGTTTCTTTCTCCATTGTTGTAGTGGCATTATTAGTTTACAATGTATTATAATCCATCAAGAACATCTGATGCCACTTGCATAGCTGACAAATGTTTGTTGTACTTTGTATATGAAGTTTGCGACCAATATGATTGGTTTAGTTCTTGTCTTAAATGTAGTTTTGTACAAATGTCTGCAACTGTTGATGGGGAAACAAAACCGGGTTACCATGGATACGGTTGTCAAGAAGATAAATACCTAGGTTACTGTTGTTATGGATACCTAGAGCTGTCATAATTTGTAACAATTGCTGCTTTGACACTATGATAGTTGAGTTTCTCATCTGCTTTTATTAGTTCGTGCATGAGACTTTTGGTAAGGGCCAAAAAGAAAAGGCCCTTTATAACCAATTTGGTCACCCTTACCAGTCTTGAAATTTACCATCAATCAGGTATTTCAAAAATTAAACCATCATACACATTTGTTAAATACATATCTCAGATCGAAGGTATGAAACTCGGCCTCCCAACCCCCATCTGCAGAATAGCCCAATAATGAAATATTAAGCTATTATTGAGAGATACAGTTTCAAGCCAATGGGTAACCACGACAATTGTGTCCCTATAGCAACCATAATCATTATTCTACTGATTTCTATGTTTCATGAAAAGTTCCTATAATTCACATCATTGTTCTGTTTTAGACCCATTTCTTATCATATTGTTGATATGTTGTATATTTACTAATATATATATATATATCTTGGTTCATGTGTATGTAACTACCGGTATATATATTGTCGTATTTCATGGTTCATGTGTATGTAACTATATAAATATTGTCGTATTTTGGTCATCAAACTCAATAAACCTATTTTATAACGAATGTTGTGTTGATCATTCAGTGGAAGGGGGGAGGGGGGGAGCCACGGTGGCTCAGTGAGTAAGGAGCTCGCCCGGTAAAAAGGAAGTCTCAGGTTCCCTCTTAGCCAAGAAGGTTCCTCAGGTTTTTCCAACGTGGTGTTCCCCTTGTCAGGGGTGCAGGAAGGAGGACCTGACAAGGACAGCTGTCTAGTCATTTGAATGGGATGAAAAACCGAGGTCATATGTACACATTGGCATGCACATAAAAGATCCTTTGGCAGTTGGATACAAGAGTAGACTGCTGTTCGGGCAAAATTCCCCTCATAGCACACTGCATGGCCGTCTTCATTAGTCCAGTATAGGAGCAGAACAGTAGGACATTAAACCCCATTTTATTTCATTTCATTTCCAAAAACAGAGGTCTGGTATACACATTGGCATGCACGTAAAATGATCCCTGGACAGTTGGAAATCGAAATAAAGAGTAGGCTGTAGTGTAGCTGTCCGGGGAAAATTTCTCTCAATGCACTGACTCCATAGAGTTAAACATCACATCACCATTTAATACTAATGTATGGTCAGGTATATTTTATTGCTATGCTGTGGTTATGTGTGAAATACACAGAAAGAGAATTCTGCCTTGGTGGTGGCGTTTCTTCCTGCTCTTCTTTGAATTCTGTCAAGGGTTCACGCCAATGTGTACACCAGAGGATGAATAGACACACTAAACTTGTCAGCCGGTTTAACATTCACGGGACACAAACTAGGTCATTTCGGGACTAACATATGGTTTAATTTTATTTCAATAATTCATTTGCGCGTAGGGGTCTTTAGCAGTGGGAGGAAACCGGAGGACCCAGAGAAAACCCACAAGGTTGGACAGGCGACCCTACTCCTTGTCAAGTACAACCGGGGGAATCGAAACCAGTTGACTCAATGATGACAGACCTTATCATACAGCGCACACACGCTAACTATTCGACCATCCAACCCGCCGACCATGAATGCAATACTTCAGTTATTTGTAGACTAAATCGATGAATATTCTGTTGTTATATGTGTAATGGCTTCAAAAATTTTCCAGGACCACAATCAAATTCCTTGTCTTGAGGATTTGGAACAATTCTTCTTATATTTGACTTCTTTGTGATAGAAAAACAATAAAATTAACATTTTACTTTTCTGTAACTGCTTGTCTAATACAGGGCGGGCAGACGTCGTGACATTTTGTATGGATACTGGCAATGCAGAATACTCCTATCTAGGAATCTTTCATGTCCTGCCATTCCAATGTCAAAAGGTTCTTTCAGTGGACCTTCTTTTTATTATCTCATCCGAAAGACTAGGTATAATTTTCTATGACCACATGTACAGTGTTAGGGAGAGAATTTTACATACATAAAGATGTTTCTGAGTATTCTTTATTAAATTCCATCTGCCACAGTTTCCTTAACTATAATTTTCTATGACCACATGTACAGTGTTAGGGAGAGAATTTTACATTTTTTGTCCCATAGACATTAGCTACCCCAGACCCATAGACACTAGTTACACCTGACCCGATGACCCTAGCTTCCCTGGACCCATAGACCTGACCCGTTGACCCTAGCTTCCCTGAACCCATAGACGCTAGCTACACCTGACCCGTTGACCCTAGCTTCCCTGGACCCATAGACGCTAGCTACCCCTGATCTAGCAGGCATAAAAGAGAGAGAAAAATGGGGCTGACACAAACTAATATGCATCAAATTTATTTCACTAATTCGCTTGCTCATAAGGGTCTTTAGCTGTGGGATGAAACTGGAGAACCCAGAGAAAATCAACGAAGTTGGACATATGACCATACTCCTTGTCACGTACAAGTGGGGAAACAAAACCACGCCACTGGACTCAATGATGGACCTAATAATCTAATCGCACATTTTAAATCAATCGGCCATTAGACTCCCGGTATTTAAACATGGGATACTCTAGTTTAAGATTTCTGGGACCTTATCGATCCACGCTGTCCTTGATAAAATAAAAACAGAACATTTAATTTGTGGTTTTATGAATATATTACAATTTTATTTTTTCTCAGTGTAGTTATTATTATTATTATACAAGTCCCCCGTTGCCTCATACTGCATCGTAAAAATAAGTTTTATATTTTGATATAATATTGTATCTCTGATATACATATGTTTCATAGCAACGTATTAGTTTATCCTCATAACAACGTTAAGATAAGTATAAAAAGACTACTAGTATTTCTCAATCAAAGGCCCATAACTCTTTCCTTATTTCTATACCACTCCTTTAGACACATGGCTGAGGGTTAAAATACAGAACAAAAAGGCTGCTTCATTATAATATTTCAGCTTCAGTTTCGTAAAAAAGCTCCAATTTCAGCATATTTTCTCAATCGTCAAATAATGACATAATTTTTTTCCTTATATAGCCACAAGTGCTTGAAAAATCTTTCACAAATAACATTAAGATGAGGTTAAGAGAGAGAGAGAGAGAGAGAGAGATGGGGTTTAATGTCCGCTCGTCATTTCGGGACTAACTCATGATTCAATTTTATTTCAATAATTCACTTGCGCGTAGGGGTCTTTAGCAGTGGGAGGAAACCGGAGTAACAGGAGAAAACCCACGAGGCTGGACAGGCGACCCTACTCCTTGTCCGTACAACCAGGAGAATCGAAACCAGTCAGTTGATTCAATGACAGACCGCATGAGGTTAGGTTAAGAGTATTGTGCCTACAGTGTAGTTGTATAATAAGGGAGATAATCTGATGCAAGGGCAAATAACTCATCTGAAAGAACTTCAATATAGCTTATCTCTTTCTCTTTAATTTTTTTTTCAATATCAACTACGTTCGTTCGGCCAACAAATTTTTTTATTTGCTGAATCTCAAGGATGATTGCAGGAATAAGAATGTAATCGATTTGAGGCATAATATTTATCTTGCTATAATAGTTTAAAAATAGATCATGAAATGGGAATATGTTGAAAATTTCAGTCAAATTACTTCACTCTGAGCCAAGCTATTGGCGATACAATAACACTGTAGTCTTGATTGTCATTGCTACCATCGTTACGATAATAAACAAAGTCTCGATTATCCAGTTTTACTATTATTTCATCAACCACAAATCGTATTCAAATCTATTGAAAATCTAGAATATCCGATGGCATCGAGAGTTGATAATGTTCTTGGATAAGTTAATTAATGTCTAATTAATAATTTAGATAACATTTCAGACCTAAAGAAAGATCTGCAATAGGCAGATTTAGCTCTTGTATAATTTATGTTTTAGCTTAATGTTATCTTTAAAAGGAATATTCCAATTTACAAGCGCCTGTGATTATAGCATGTCTTCCCTTGGCCAGCAAAGGATTTCAATAACTGTCTAAATAATACAGAGTTATGGGCCTTTGATTTTGTAATCCGTGAATTAGTAGATATTACTGTATAAAACAGGTACACACACATTTATAGAGAGCAACCATACTGTATAAAATATTACAAATACATTCATCATCTACATATAACATACTGGTATGTTCAAGTCAAAAAGACACTTACCAAGACACTTGTATAATTAGTCTCTACCATCCAAGCCTTGTCCCTTGCTCTGGACAATTGTGGCTATGATGGTGTAGACTTGTGTATATATGACATATTTAATAGTATTGATATAGGTACAATATACATGTATATATATATATATATATATAGGATAACTGAACACAATGACACACATTAAGACATGCCCATTAATTAAGACACACCCATTAATTAAGACATGCCCATTAATTAAGACACGTCCATTAATTAAGACACGCCCATTAAGATGTGCCTATTAATTAAGACATGCCCATTAATTAAGACACGCCCATTAATTAAGACATGCCTCTTTACCTAGATGTATATAATATTGTTTGATTGAATGATAATTTACCTCCATATAAAGTAACTGACATCCATATAAGGTCATTTAATCCATATAAGGCAACTAACCTCCATATAAGTCAATTGCCCTTTATATAAGTCAACTGACCTCCATATAAGGTAACTGACCTCCATATAAGGTAACTGACTTCCATAAAAGGTAAATGACTTCCATATAAGGTCATTCAATCCATATAAGGAACATACATTAAAATAATGAGCCTGTTCACTAAACAATTTCAGAATAAAAATCACCCTTAAATATGAAATGAAATGAAATGGGGTTTAACTTCCTACTATTCTACACCAACTGGGCTAATATGCCAGGAGTGGAATTTTGCCTGAACAGCACGGTTTCTGCTAACTCTTCAAAAAATTGTCAACGTTCAAGGATTCCTTTATGTGAAAATGGAACCATAGTTTTTCGTAGACGCTGCTGGAAAATCCTGCTAGGCTTTCTCGGCTAACACTTTGTTTCATCGTCATCGAACAGTCCCTACGGTACTCGTCATCGACCAGTCCCTACAGTACTCATCGTCATCGACCAGTCCTTACGGCACTTAAGAGTGATTTTTATACTTGTACTATTTAGTAAAACTGGCCCCTGATATAGAGAGAAATTGAGATCTAGCGAGCCTGGTCAATGATATTTATTTTGTTCGTAACACAAATAGATCCGAAGGATTGAATCCTAGTCTAAAAGTGTTTAAAAAGGCAACAGCTTGAAGGCAGAGAGGAATACAAGGCAAACATTATGCTTAATTAATAGTTGTATTTGGTCACATGGTAGGATGTATCATTTAATAAATGGCCGTGTGTACAGACAGTTCAATTCTCCAGCTGGTTCAATTCAAGGCAAGTTACACAAATATGACAAGACACAGTCCTGCTTAAAGTGGAAATTGCAAATTTTTAAGTTATATTTTTAAAATGTATTAAAATAAAGCCTGAAAATAGATGGTATCCATAAACAGTCCTACCTTGTTAAAGAATAATCCTATTAATCCTATAATTCACTATTGCCAGCTGAGAAATTGGCAAAAATGTCATTTTCCTCTTCATTTTCAAACGTTTGCAAAAAGCT